AATTCTACGTGACTTCATAATAGTTGGAAATGAACACATTACACCCGACCCTACCACTCCATATACAATGTAAACTACACCCCAAAACATCCTTTCACCCACAGTTACTACCGTGTTTCACCAGTGTATTCTATTTGACGTCAGGAGAAATTGAAATAAACAAATTAATTATAATTTCAGCCTCTAGTTGACCACTGATTAAATAAACTACCTCGTCTTTATGTCAACTTGCAGTTATTCGTTGCCTACATCAGTGACTTCAAAATATATGTTTCAATCCCAGGAATTTCACTCGCTGTTAATTGCATGGGAGTGGCAGTCTTTAATGAATTTCTATTGTCATGTCAATTTCTTGCGATTACTCGAACATTAAGCTGTAACCACATACCGCCTAGATGCTGTAATTAAATCCTGGTGTAAGCACCATATGAACTATGAACAATGCATGTGAAGCCAGCTGTGGGGTATATTCAATCCTATAGATTTCTAATTGTTTGGTAACTATTTGCTGCAAATGCAACAAAAATCAATATAAAAAAATATTACCCACACAGTATTCTACAGGTTACTTGTTGTATCTAGGTTTGTGTTACATACTGTCATGATTTGGTGTCGTGTGCGTTTTTCCGGTCTATGATCATATCTAGCGTCGTTGTCGTGATATCTAATGTTGTGGCAATATATAATGTATAATGTCGTGACTGTGATATATTGTATCACGCAATATAAAACCCAATGTTTAAATATTATTGAGTGATTCGGGGATGTCGAGGAAGAATATTCGCTATCTTTTGTGATGCGCTAATTATTATGTCAGCAATTAATTCCTTCTATTTGTCAACTTGATATTTGTAAATTTCATTAGGCTGTCACAAACCGCTGAGTCGATTAAGCTGAAACGTTTTGTTTATTCGTTCCTAATGCCTAAAACGTAGCTAAACAGCTATTTAAACATTTATATTTTCTCAACGTGACTCTTTCATTTATTTGTTTGTATTTTATGTATTGTTTTATTCTTCATTTGACCAAGAAGCCCTAAAACCTAATAATCTGTAAACGTTCATGTGCATACTCATATTTACAACTATTTCATATCTTATATTTATTACATTTTTATTACACAGAGCACAATATTTAATAATCTGTTTTTTTCTCATTTACTCTAATATTAAACTGTTTCAAGTATTCAACAACTTGAATAGGTTAATTTCTCCGCATGTCCGTACAAATGAAAAAAAAATGCGAGTGTTCTCAGTGAGTTCCGATCACTCTAGTTTAAACGTCAGCATTAAAAACAACGCCGTATTTGTCATTGGTCAAAATAACAACCAATACTCAATGTTATCAATGCAGATCGTATTACGTCGTGATCAGTTATATGAGATGCGATATTTAATAAAATAGAGAATCGTGTTGATAAGTGTTGTTGTCATAGAAGCTTGACGAATGGAGGTTATACTCTGCGCTAACCGGTCTATTACATGTATTTACAGCAAATTTCCACAACACCAGGCAAATTAAGCCTCGGGAAAGAGACATGTGCAATTAATGATGTTTAGAATTTAAGTTTGGCTTTAAAGGCTCTGTCAATGTTAGTAAGACGATTTAATTTAGATGTTATTTCGATCTGTCAGCAAATAGAGACATCGCCGGTGCAACGATCCACGGCGGCGTTTTCCCTTGCTTCACAGAAACCGGCCAAACGAAGCTATTAAATTTAATTGGTATTAGTCTTTCGGGGCAATCCATCAGTGTTAGCCGGGCATAGTCACCATTGCACGGTGTAAGTACGACCAGGTGACAGAGACAATCAAAATTCCCATAGCTTTAAAAGGAAAACGAGTGGACACCCTAGCTTGTTAAAATAGAGGTAGTTCGAATCTACCCTGATACCTACCCTGCACGCTATATGGCCATTAGACAACGAGGGTAATGAGGTTCTTTTATTTCTGACTGAATTTAGAGGGACGCCGCAGCGATAAAGCAAGAAAGCATATTGTGTTGTGCGATTCACTGTCCAAACATAAAACCTAATTTCTATTGACATGCATTGCCAACTTATTATAAGTATCCACTACGTCATTTCACGAAAAATATAATTCGTCGTATTGATGACGAAACAATTACTAATTACAATGCCTTTCAGGTTCTTTCGTTCGGATTACCTCAACCTCCGTCGTCGTTGGTGGCGTTAGCCATCGACAACATCACACATTCTCAAAGTTAGGGGGCCACAAGTCGTAACGAACATTGTGTGAACCCGGCCAAGTGCTTTAAGTGTGTTGGCCGATCACGAAACTCGACTAATTAACGACGGGTCATTACAGTCAATTATAGCAAATTACATGCCAACGAAATGAAACTGTTCGTTTAGTCAACAGTCTCCGCCATCTAAGGCCTACTCAAGGGTTACTCAATAACCACCAAGTGTTTGAAAAGGCTAGTTCGTTTTTTTCCGTAACGAAGTTCAGAGCTGTCGGAGGAAAACATCGTCCGGCGTGCCACATCACTCACACGCGGAGGAGGTGAAGTGTTGACCGTAACAGCGCATAACTGGTACATATACATCGCTTTCACGCTCTCCGACTCGGTATATAAGAACACGGTGGTACATGTTCAGTAGTACTGAATAATTCACGTAATGTATTCAAGTACTGCGATAAATCCACAGTCACAATAAATAATATATTTATCATTACAACAAACACTCTAACAATGGGGAGCTGTTGCTAATTATTATAACGCGAAAAGTCTATGAAGGTATCATTCTATCTTTAATTCGCACACTCCTTCTATTAACGTTCCCGAGAAGAAAATAATTGTCCAGATCGCGACTTGCTGGCAAAACTTGCGATCTGTTTAAGTTTGAAAGGAGGTTAATACTTGGCAACCGCGCCTGTGTTGTCTCTTGTCCTGGGAATGTGTGATCTGGGTATGTTGGTTTACTACAGTGCCCGGTAGCCCATCAAATTGTCGTAGGTGCGTATCTTGGCTTAGATCATACATACTAAACATGTCACCATATGCATGAACGGTGTGAGGACACCTGTGGCACTGAAACTGATCGAATCAAGCTTATTGCTTCTCGTTTATTAATTGTTGTTAGATGTTCCACAGAAAAACATAACACTAGACATTTAGCGTCTGCAAATTCACAAAAAAATAAATAAATCTGTATTTATAAGTAATACACTCTATAATCGATTCAATAGGTCAATGATTAAACGACGTCGACCTTGTCTAACCAATCCCCTTCCTCCCCTTAACACTAAACGATGATTTATATAAGCGTTCCTGAATCAATTGCTTCACTGTATTTGTATTCTGGTAATCTAATGGGCTGTCTAAACCAATCATTTAATTTAGAACATCGAATCTCAGCTGTTATAATTAGACAAGTTGCTGGTTGCTTGGCTCTTTTCTTAGCCCGGAACCGGTGTTAGCAGTAATCTCTTCAGGGACGCATACGCGAGTGATTTCTTCTGCTGCAAGCCGCGTCATCGTAAGGTGCAGCATGATGATTTCGAATCCCACTAGTCGATGGACTGCTACGTTAAGCGTACACCAACAGAGAAGAGCTAAAAGTTCGTTTACTATTGATAGCATCCTTGGGTTGAGCCATGAGATGCCCGTAGAACAACGTGAAGTAGCAAGCGTGGAAGAGAAGGGCGAGCACTGGACAGAAGATGTGCATATAGGTCGTATACGGCGAACTGAGGAACTAAAGTTACCTGGCAACCATGTTAAAGGTGAGATAAATCCCTTACTGGGAAGGTGGTATGGTGGTCAAATAATCGAAATATTTTGTGAAATTCCAACAGAAACCGTCTTCTTTGATTTTTGATTCACACTGACGCAAATGAAGGTTGTACAATACATTTTGACTAACCGTGACATTATCCAAAGTTAGTTAAGAGTTCTGTAGATTAATTCGGTTGCTACAAGCACTTATGTCCACCATATTGTGAATAAGCTCTCTCTTTCAGTTTGTGGTTGATATATAATCGACAATAATCGGTAATCGATGTACTTAGTAACTATTGCAAGACAGCTAGACGTTTCGAGTTTGGTTGTGCGCATATTAATATTTTATTTTACACAATTAAAAAACTGATCACTTTAACATACTTTATGCGATTGTTTGGACCGAGTTTTGAACTTAAACACAGTATGCCGAACTACATACACGTTTGTATTGAAGTGTTATTTGAAATGACTTCCTATTATTACTACCCGGACAGTTGTACATAGTTCTTACACATCTGTATATTATATGCATTTACCAGTAGACAAAGTCCTCAGCCGTCGTTATTAGTCTCGTGGCCAGGTGCAGAATACACACTTCAACGTTCATTAAGTGTTTTGAAATGAAACTCAACCCTCGAGAATGCTTGCTGCACATGCACGCGACCACGTGTTAATTAGTTCTTAGACGTTGGTGGAGGCAGTGATTGGAGAATTTGTCTGAAATCGGCACATATTCGAACTTTTTCGATTTACTACGATTAAAGAATTCATATCACGTTGGTAATTGAACGTAAATAACCAGCCATCTGGTTATCCGTACTTTTCAACACACCACACATTCAGAGACGATTCTGCATGCGGAGCGCCACCATAATTTATGTTATGAGATACTCTTGTTTTACGTAAAATGTAGTATATATGCATGTCACATTTCTTTTCATATGTAGACAATCTTCATTTCACACAATTAAAATTTCGAAGATCTGCCTCAAGCAGAACACACTAAAAATGCTCAAATTACCATGGAAACAGCATAAATAATCTGGTTTTCACTATTAATGACGGAATTGCCATACAATTTAATCTTAATAACATTTTACAAAAAGTGATCGGTCTGTTTATGTGAAAATTGTAACTCCTTTATTGTAAGTGTCTGAAAAAATACATTGGGTAAATAATTATGCTATTCTAAGTTGAAAATGCTAGTTTGAAAAAATACAATTCGTAGGAGCTAAACGTAAGTAATGCCATTTAAAAAATAAACACGTTTACTCTAGTTTACCTTATTTTAAAATTGCTACTAGCTAAGGTTCTACTTATGGCAGGGTTTAGACATTTTAACAGTGTGTCTAACACTTGTAAGTAAACAAAAACGTAACCTCAAGGCGTCCGAGTCGAGCAACGACGAATAGGTATTCGCACATTACGAGTAAATGCGATTTTTTTTTGTTTCAGAGTTAACGCCAGAAGAAACTAATGAAGGTTACACTGACAAGAAGGAGGGGCGAAAGAAGTCGAGGCGCATGCGCGTTAGAACCAATTTCGCTGCTTGGCAACTAGATGAACTCGAGAGGGCGTTTGAAACAACTCACTATCCAGATATCTTCATGAGGGAAGCTCTGGCAATGAGGTTGGACCTCATGGAAGCAAGAGTTCAGGTATGATACATTCAATAACGCGTCTGATTAGAAGCAGTTGTCACTTTGTTGTTTCAAATATAACTGCATTATAAAATAAAAGAGGATATCAAACACAAAAACAGGCGGC